TATACAGTCGTATGCTCTAGAAAGATCTAAGCACGTACCTAAAGCTATTCTTTCGCCCTCCAAGTGTTTTAAAATTGTTTTTATAAACTGAAATATAGCGGTTTCTGTTGATTTATTAGCTACATAACCATGCTGATGATTGTTGAACATTTTATATTTATTAAAAAACTCTAGGAGTCTTTTGCAAATAGCCATCTCAAATATTTTAGAAAACCCGGGCAAAAGGCTAATTGGTCTATAATTGGTAATTATTTCCGGATCTCCCTTTTTATAGATTGGTTTTATTAATGCTGTTTTAAGTTGGTCTGGGAAAACGCCATTTTCAAATGATTCATTAATCAAAAGACACAACACTTTACTTGCATACGGGACAGAAATTTTTATTATACTGGTTGGAATCTCGTCTATTCCACTACTATGTTTATTTTTAATTTGTTCAGCCAAATGACAGATTTCATCTGGTGTTACCGGTGTTAAAAACATGGACTGTGAATTTACGGGTATTTTATTGGAAAATGGCCTTTTTTCTAGGTTTTCCAATAATTCAGGTACAACGTTCAACAGATATTCATGTTATATTAATTATAATTTGTTATTTTCATTTTAAAAATTTCGAGTTTCATTTGAACATTTTAAATATAATTTTGGATTTATATATATTCTAAAAGTTAAGCTAAAAGAATCTCTGTCAGTCTACCAATTTAAATATAAAATCCAGCATTTTCTCTGGGGCGCTTTACATCGTTTTGCTATTCAAGTGATCTTTTCTGAGATTCACTTCACTTATGGGTTCGTCAAGAAACATCGTTCTGCGGTTGCTTTCCGTTTACGGTTTGATAATATTTTGTCAATACATCTTTGGGTGCAGCCATTATAAAGCAAATTCGTTTTAATACTGCTTAATTCTACATCGAGTGGTGCTTCGTCACTGCATAGTGTAATTGCTCTTTTGTAGAGTGTAGATGATTCCTTGTTTTTTTCAGAACGGTTAAACTGGAAATTTAAATACTATCCGGTATTTGTAGACTTCGTGTATACAGAGGTGATAGAGCTATTATTACTACTTACTAGGACATCCAACAACATCTCAACGATAATTTTAGCGGACGGTCGCAAAGAAGTAAGATGGTCGGTTAAATTCCAGATGATGAAAGTATCGTAATATCAAAGTGGTTGAACGCTGTAATCTAGTATATAAACCTCGTAGCCTTAGAATTAAAGTTAACATAAATAAAGACAAGTCTTTGTTGAAATTTATGAAGCTCTTTGTCAACGTAAAGGAAGGTAATTTTTCTTCTGGATACGTTCTTTCATATTACAATATCCCAGCATCTTTTAATCTGTACTGACCAGCAACTTCTGTAGCACCGAAATTGGTTAAATATGACTGAAAATATATAACATATTATATAACTAAAGGCACGCCCACTTAGCGTCCAACAGGATCACGTGCCAATTTAATTTTTCCACTTGCCCCGATTTCACATTACTATTATTAATTATTAATTAACAGACACCCTCGAACAAAGACGCCATTTAAGTTTATGTTTAATTGATTATATTTGTAGAACTACTAAACAATTAGGAAATCGTTTTTTTTTCTACCCGCGCGAAGCGATAACATTTGACTTGAAGAATAATTAAGAAATTTAATGAGATGCTAGAATAATAATCAGCCTAACGTGGCAAAAAGGCGTGTGACCCGGATTGAAATATTGGGGACTAAACGCACTAAACGAAAAGTTTTTATTTTGCAAGGTTTTAGATTTCTTTTTACATTAGTTTGAAATTTGGTGAGAGGATGTTTCTACTGCGAGCAATTGACTTTTACCAACAACTAGTCTGTTCCCTCCTCATTTGCCACTTTGAGAATAACCTTCCAGTACATTGTTAGCGCGTAATAAAGCTTCTCTGCCATTTTGAGATTATATTATTATAAATATTTTCTTTGAAAAGTCCAAAATCAAAACAAAGTTTCATATATAAATTCATCCGAAACTAACCATTGGAAGTTCTTTTACAAGAAAGCATATAACACCAAAGAACCAGGACTTTCTGGGAAGCAATAGTGCCTTATTTAAATTAAAGAGAATATATGGAAGAAATCAGTACATTCTTCTTATAAACTATATAAATAAAATTATGAGAATTTATAAAATTTGGGGTTTTGTTTTTACATTAGATTGAAATTTGGTGGGAGGATGTTTCTAACTTGTGCAATTGACCTTAACCTTAATCTTGCAACTAATCTGTTGTTCCCTCATCATTTCGGCCACTGTAAGGGCACTTTAAGTTTAACCTTCCAGCACATTATTGGCACGAGCATAATAAAGCTTCTCTGCGTTTTGATGTCATATTATTATAAATATTTTCTATGAAAATTAAAGCATATTTTTGAAGGAAAATAAAAATGAATTCCTAAGATGAATGAATATGAATATCCAATTTATCCGAAACTGATTATTAGAAAAAAAACTTTTCTACTTCCTTCTTTTACCATGTCTCATCGGACCGCACTTGTTGCATAATATACAATTAGAAGAAACAATAACATAAAAAAGCAGGGATTTTTGAGAAGCCATTATGCTCCAGTTTAATTAAAGCGAATACATGGAAGAAATCATTAAATTATTTTTAAACTATACATAAATTTATGAGAATTTATAAAATTTTAGGCTTGTTTTTAAATTAGTTTGAAATGTGGTCGGAAGATGTTTCTACTGCTTGATCTTCACCGTTCACACAACTAGTCTGCTCCCTCAGCGTTTTAGCAACTATGAGGGTACTTTGAAGATAACTTTGAAAGAATAATAAGAATGTATTCCTAAGATGAATTCATCATTCTTGAGAAAAAAGAATAACACCAATAGAGCAGGCATTTTAAGGGGAAAATGGTGCCTCAGTTTAATTAATTTAATTAATATGTCAAAAATCTGTAAATTCTTCTTGAACTTGATACACGATATTAAATATCCATGTTCCGAGATTTAGCAAAATAGAGATACCCTTACACTTTGAGTTTTCAATGTCGTGAAAATAAACTTGAAACATATTAAGAACTTATTCAAATTGATTTTTTTTTACAATTAAGGCCACCAAAATTCATTACAGATAGTTGCTATCTTAATATGTTTGATACTTCATCACCCTTCTAATTAATATTGACATTTTAAATATAATTTTTAATTCTAGAAACTTCAAAACTATTTCTCTTGGCCGCTTTAACTACAATTTTTTTTACCCTAAGTCTATCTAGATACGGGGTCTTGACCTCCCATTTTTTTTATTTTTAGTTTTGAAAAAAATGCGTTAAAATCATAACCGATTTTTGCACTTTTCTAAAAGTACTAGCAAAAAAGTACTAAATAAAATTAATTTATTTAGTACTTTAGTAATTTAGTAATAAATTAAAAATAAAATTTTACTTATAAAAACTATATAGTATTTTTAAAACTAATACCACTTAAGGATAAATTGCTAAACTAATTTTTTCCGCCTTCCCCGATGAGGGTAAATGTAGAGGGCAAAATGCAGAAAGGTCAAATGTAGAAAAATTTGGGTAGAACCCTAAAATCCAAGTAAGAATGGCTTACCAATGTAAAATAACAATGGGTCTATATTCATTTTCGTTCTCTTTTTAACCTTGTTTTCAATATTTTTTGAAAACTTTATTTAAGAAGGTTGGAGTTAAAAAAAGATAAATATATCTACTGATAAATGAATATGAACCTATACATCAGGTGGTTTAATTATTACCTACATAGATTTTGAATAGTATATTATGCAACAAGTGCGGTAAACGGCATTTGACTAGTTTATTTCAAAAGTTTGCCGAGCATGTTGCATACTATACTTTTTCTAATGCCGTTAGTTTTTGGGTACATTTTTGTAAAACAACACGAATATTTTTACTGACACGACCAAGAGAATTGACAAACGTCAAAATTCAAACCGTGGGAAATATCTCCGAAAACATCGGATTGCTCCCAAACCCGTGCAGTAAAATCCCGGAAATGTCCGAAGTGACTCGGATCCGTGGGAAACGAAACTGACGTGGTAAAGTGACGCTTCCCGCACACTACATCGGTGTGTAATTAGGCATTTTACAGAGGGGAAAAGAAAAATGTAAATATTTTGTAAATTTCCATTTAGTGGAAAATTTTCTTTAAGGAATGCTTCGTATATTATTTTTTGATATTGAGATATGAAAATAACATGGAATAATTTTTGATAAATATTTTGTAAAGATGTTATCCTAAAAACGTAAAAAACACCCGCAAACCCCAAAATACAGAAACCAATAAATGTTGGCAGCAAAATTATAAAACAAACGGCAATTATTTGCACTTTACTTTGAAAGTCGATGTTCAAATTGGCGATCATCGGCGAATCAACAGCGGTTCTAAGTTCTTAGATAAATGGACATGGAATAAAATACTTTTCATTTTTTATCTCGTAAACGAAGCAAGATATGAGAAAAATTCGAGAGAACCTTTATTTCTGAAAAATATCGAAATTCCATTAAAGTCATTTTAATCGACCCCCGACCCTAACACCATTGTTTGTTTTTTGTTTTCTTAGGGCCAAATCAGCGCCTTATCACTAGAAACAAGGCTGCCAAATTTTAAATAATTCCGTTAGAAGGCATTTGAGTCGGAAAGAATGCATTTCCGGACGTTTATGGAAACGGTTTTTATAAAATGATCTGAGGACTGTCCTTCATTCTTTCAAAATTTTATATATTTAGATGTAATTCAAGACCCGATGGTTTTTGACAATGCAGAATTTAAAAGTAGAATTATAAATATCACTTTTTGAATTCTGAAAGTTAAAAAAAGGTTTTGAATTTTATCGTTCCAGCTTTGGCAGTTTTGGAGATATCTAAGCTTTCCGGTATTTTTGACTAACCCTTTATGTTATCTCAGCAAATAGTTTAAAACAATTCGACTAGATCGTTTTCTAAATAAAATAAAACAGAAATGATTTTCACGCACCTTAGAGGCAAGGCCAGCCAAAATCGAACCTCGCAAATGCGCGTGAGTCAAAAACCTATCAACGTTCACTGACAATCACATTTTTCACCGCACCAAAACAAAAATACGCGGTCCTCGAACAAGCTCGAGACGAGAGGAACGTCACGACTCCACATCTCACTGCGCGCGGGTCAGCGACGGTCTGAAGCGGGCAGACACCACGTTGCGAGCGTGTTGGTGAGTATATTCCGAACTCTGCTGTTGCGCTATTTGGAGAAGGGGCGCAACTTTTTGGTTTATGTCGGGGGTGATCTGAACCACCCACGAATCCCAACGACCGGTAATAATTGTGCAATATTTAAAATTGTCCTCTATTATTTATTTTATACAACTTTAAAATTTATAACCGAAAGCTGATACCGGTCCAATTTTAGCGTATAGCTAAGAAAAAGCCATCGTTGCTGTGATTTACCAAGAGTCGAACTTCTAGGCATTGCTGATTTATTGTGAATCCTGGTTAAACGCAAACCAGACAAGTTTGACGTTTCTGTCAGCGAGAATACCTGCAGGTAAGTGCTTATTTTTATCTATCTTTGAAATTAATTGTAAAGTGACCACTTTTAAAATAGGTAGGTAGGTAGGTATCTTTTGCTTTTAATTTATGGGCAGAAATTACTCTGGTGCGGTTTTGGATAGCTATTTTCGTCTATAATATAATAATAATAATAATAATAATAAATAATGATAATAATAATAATAATAATAATAATAATAAACTGTCTTTATTGAAAATCAAAATATTACAATAAAAGTAATAATACAAGAGTGGCGTCATTCGCAAATTGCACTATTCCATGTAACCACAAGAACAATAACACCAACACCATAATTGTCAACAAAATTCACTCCCGTATATACATCGTAAATACAAGAAATAGACGCACATCATAAACTCATACGCTTTTCTTAGATACTGGCCGGGGCCCAATAAACAATATTAACGCTTTTTTGAAGGACTTTATTGTGGCATAGGCATAGGTATTTCATTAAATAATGTAACTGCGTTATACCTAAAAGATCTCTGTAAAGTTACCGAAGTGTGTCTAGGAACGCAATATTTTAAACAGTGACGGCTGTCTCGATTGTGAATATCATTTCCTCTTCAACGTTTATCAAACAAGTACGACGGGGTTTTGTTTGACTTTAGTAAAAATACAAAGGTGGCTAACTGAACTTTATATCGGTCCTCCAGCTTAAGCCAACCCGAACCAGAGAGGCACTGTGAAATATGCTCATACTTTCTGAGATTGTAACTAAAACGAATACAAGCATTCTCGATAAGTATAGCTACAACAATATATGGCTGCAATAAGCTATAAGGGATAAAACTAACTGGTTCTTAGGTATTTAGGTAGTTGGAATAATCAAAAATTTCTCTGGGAAACTTTTAAATTACAAATGTCACTTTACTTACCGACTAATCCACTAGATTTTAATTGTAGCTTATAGCGTGTAGTATTTCAATACATACATACATTGCATAACATTTTTCTGTGTATTTGTGTTTGGGTACATTTTTACAAAACAACACCAATACAATCACTGACATGACCGTCAGAATTAACAAACGTCAAAATTCAAACCGTGCGGTAAAATCTGATGTCCGGTTTTCGCTTAAAAAAAAAGTCGTTAATATGACAGTATGCAGGGAATTATTGCCATTATTATTCCTTACTTAAGTAATTGTCTATCTGTTTTATTAAAATTCATCAAAAAATCGAAGTACAAATACGAAGCATGTAAACTCTGAGATGAATTTTTAAAATATTTATAATTATTTATTTTCATTGTAGCAGGCAGCGTCTGTGGGAATTAATAATTCTGTTGTCAAGGCGGTTGTTTGATATCAATTTTTAAATTCAGTGCTTGGCGTCGTATTAATTTGTTGTTTCAAATATCCAAGGATTGTTATTTTAAAAAAGAATGGTCGATTTTACTAATGATGGTTGGCATTTTATGTAAGGTTTGGCTCATTTAGCTATAAGAAAATATAGTGGCTCTACTAAGGTAAAAAGTGATGCACCGCAGGTGACTATGATATTTTCGTGTGGATCTGAATATAACTGGCAATGCCGAGCTAGGTAATTGCTATTTTCAGAGACTGTTATTATTTCCGTACTTTTTCGTGTTTTTGTGAAAAAATTGTGTTTGTCGTCAAAACTGAATGCAAAAAAATGCGCCTATACAAGGGTAAGTGTTGACTTATGTACCAGTCAATTTAAAAGATTTAAATGTGGTTTATATATGACACCCGCTCACAAACACATATAATTTGTGCCTTTAATACTTCCTCCTTCACGAAATTACAGAAAATATGAGGACGTAATAGGATCTTAGACCAACCCGATTGATTTAACAAACTGCAAAATAGACTTGCATATAAATGTTTACATCTCCCTATATTTATAGGTACACTTAAGTAGCTACGCAGAAAGTATGTTTTTTCTACTCCCGTTCCGTCTCATTACCCACCGATCTAGCATGCGGGAAGCATCACTTTACCACGTCAGTTTCGTTTCCCATGAATCCGAGCCACTTTGGAGATTTCCGGGATTTTATCGCACGGATTTGGGAGCAATCGGATGTTTTCGAAGATATTTCCCACGCTTTGAATTTTGACGTTTGTCAATTCTGACAGTCATGTCAGTGAATGTATTCGTGTTATTTTGTGAAAATGTACCCAAAAACTAACGGTCGTAGAAAAAGTATAGTATGCAACACGTTCGGTAAGCTTTATAACTCACTCGTTTATTAAAAACTCACTCCGCTTGTGTCAAATAAACTCGTGAGTTAAATGCCGTTTACCGCACTTGTTGCATAATATACTATTACCGCACCTGTTGCATAATATACTATTGGTAATATGTTTTAGAAGTATTACTAGAAGAATCACAAGAAATACCTTTGACAATTACAAATCCTTGTAAACCTCATTATGAGAAAGTTTTCGTTTGTCATCAAGCTTAGTGAAAACGAAATTGCCTTTCGGTTGGTCAAAAAATTACTGGAATTATGACCAAAGAAAATGGGGAATTACAAGAATCAGTTCAGCTGCTACAGAAAAAATTTGAACGATATATCTGCAGGATTTTTTTGAGAATTACCAGGAATTCTAGGCAACTATTCAAAATTTTGGGGTACTTGATTAGTAGGTCACTTACCTTCACAATTTGACACTGATCAAATAGAAACAGTTCTTTCAATAAATACTATTGTGTAAATCTGCTTGATGGATTCGGGACAATTTGAGTAGAAAAAATATTATATGCACAACTTGGGAAGAAGAGATCTTGATTAGTCTCCGACTATTTTCCCAGGACTTGCTTGGCTCGACAGTAAACCACGCCCTTGACTCGAAACTTCTCTCTTGTGTGAATAACTATTTAGTACAAGTTTTTGGGTTATATTTCATCAATAATTTGGGAATTTTTTGCGGTAGCCACCATGCAATTTTTGCGAGCAAAATGTTCTTTAAATTTTGAGACAATAAACGACACGTTTTAGTTTGTCGGCGTTTAATGGATAAACTAGCAAAATGTTTTTACCGCCCATATATAATAACTTGGGGCTGTATAAGAAAAACCCATAATCCCATATTTATATTAATATATTAATTCTCTAACAGTAATTTCTGTGCAATTCTCTTACATTTAGGCCTAATTGTTTATTACTTTTTTATACTAGTCTTCAATTGATTATATTTTGCAATACCTACAGTCTTTTAACGAAATTGTCAATAGGCCAAATGGCAAGCGAAACTTTCTGAATTTGTTAGACTTGCGATGAAAAAATGAGCGTTCTGTCTATAAGAGGTGCTTGTTGAACACTTTTTTCACTTAGATATTTTCCTTGCGATTTCTAGTACGTCATTTTTAAGAGTCATTCAGTCATTCATTCAAGTCTAGTAGCTATTAGGTTTGGCTGACGGCTGTGCACCGGAAGGTACACGATTATATCAAGAGCGTTTTCCTAAAAGAGTCACACCAGATAGGCGAACTTTTCAAATATACATAGAAGATTGACCGAAACCCGTACTCTGGGGGCAAATAATCATTTAACACAGGCCTATCTGTCTCTAAGAACCCCAGAAATTGAACAAGCAGTTTTAAATTCCATTTTGTGAAAATCCTGACCTTGGTACTAAAAAAATCTAAGGTAATCTAAATATTTCGCATGTCTTGGTTTGAAAAATTTTGCACGGTTATCTATTGTACCCACATCATATTCAACTACTTCAAGCCGTTACTTCCCAGAGATTTTCCCTTGCCTGTTAATTTTTGTCAATGGTTTTTGGATAAAATTGCGCATTATTCCTTGTCTAATCAAGAGATACTATTTAGAGATGAAGCTGACGTTTCCAGAAATGCAATCATAAATTTTCAGAGACGGTGAAAACTCTAAAGCAGTTAAATTGAAACATCAAGTACAAGAGCTGAAGCTTTTTTCCAAAAATGTTGTTATTAATTTATTAATTAATTAAATTAAATTAAATTAATTAAGTAATTAATTAATTTTGTTAAGAATTATTAATGGTTGATGGTGTTTTTTTAAAATATACATCTTGTTCTTAGGATGTTATGTTATTTCATTAAAACTGTAAAAGTAAGGATAGTTTTTTAACATCCTTTTTTTTCTGAAGGACACTAGTTGATAACTAAAAACTGGATATTTTGGTTTAGATAGATATTTTATTTTTCACAAAGAACAGTTCTCGAATTAAGCAGACCAGCGGTGACCTAATTAACCAAAATATTATTTGTTAATAGACAGTCAGTTTCACGATACTGATTTGCTTAAAAAAATGACGACACTGGCATTCATTTTCTTTTGAGCCATTTTGATGATACGACTGTCGATTATTACCTAAGAACCTTGTTATATTTCAGCCCATTGTAGGGAAAAGTGTTACGCAAAATGTTTTAAGCAAGAAGGCTTGAAGAAGGATTAAAAGGGAGATCCAGATCAAAGAATATTAATTAAACGGTAGTTCTTGAACACGTTTCGGGTATTTAAAACTACAAACAATCTTCGGCTTCCGCAATTCATCTTGATCTCTCCCAATAACCCCACACGAGAAATTGAAACATGGCTTAGGAGTCGAAACGGCTGCCGAACCCATAACGGCATAACACGCAGAAGACCGTTTCTGTTTATGATGGTGTCGACACGGCTAACTTTCCAAACGCGCGTTTTTTGTGCCTTTAATTCTTGTTTACATCTGCGATGTTCGAAAATAGCTTTCCTCGTAAATTTACGTGGCCGATAGAGACATAGGAGGGAACGATTATTTCAAATTGACTAGTCTCGCGCCACACGGAGTTAATCTAAGCGGGTGTAACATGTCACTCGATTTACATCGGCACATAAAAGTTTTCACCTGCACCTGGTGTCGTATGACTTATTAATTAATAGGGGTTTGTACACTTTATTGGGTTTATGTTGTTAATTAAAGGTTGCCTAAGGGGTAGCAACTTTTATTAAATCTCCTAAATTGCTTTTCATTTGTCCGCAAAATAAATCTTGCGCGTAAGCAACTCCTAAATATTTCTACCGTATTATGGTCCTAGCATATAGCTATACTCCAAACCATAGTGGGAACCCAGTATGGAGTCTTATGGAGCACTGTTGCCAGCCTTGGCATCGCTGGACCTACTGGGAAACTTGATTGGTTTGTGCTCAACACAGTAAGGAGAAGAATGTGCCTATACACGGGTTAGTGTTGCCTTATGGACAAGATTTAAAGGGGGTTTATATACTCACAAACTTGCGTAATGTGTGTTTTCAATACTTTGCTAATTCACGAAATCACAGCAAATGTGAGAAATATGAGGACCTAATAGGATCTTAAAGGAACCTGAGTGATGCCTATTTATCTTTCATTTAATAAACAGGAAAATAGGCTTTACAAGAATATTTACATGTAAATTTACTAAACAGAATTCTCTACATTTATAGGTACACTAAAATATCTACAGGAAGGATGTTTGGGTAATATACTTTAGTGTACAAGAATTACAGGAAATACAGAAAAACAAATAACCTGCAAGTTGAAATTTTATTAGAACAAGCACAAGAAATATGCCTTGACAGCTACAAATTCTTGTAAAAATCAATATGAGACAGTTCTCGTTTGTCATTACGTCTAGCGAAAACGAAATTGCCTTTCTATTCGTCAAAAAATTACAGAAATTATCACCGCAGAAAAGTGGGGAATCAGTTCAACTGCAACAGGAAGAGTTTAAAGGACTTTGGGGAGTCTGATTCAAATTTTTGAGAATTACCAAAAATTCTAGGCAACAATTCAAAATTTGTGGTATTTCATTGGTAGGTCTTATCTCCTTGGGGAGGTAAGTGAATATTGCAGTACATAATATATACAATTTGACACTAATTAAATAGAAATTTAATATGCAGATTTTGGGAAGAAGGGATCGTGATTAGCTTCCCATTACTGTAACCCAACCCAACCCAACCCTTGCTTTGCTCGAAAGTAAACTATGTTTTTGACTCATAACTATCACCTTGCTCGCTTGTGTAAATAACTATTTAGTAACTTTAGTACCTTTTGGTTTTTTCTCAGCCATTTTATTTGTTAATTTTCCAAAAGATGAAATTAAACTGCTGCCAGGAAGACTAATAACTTTAGAAGAGCATCCATATGCGGGGATCGCTTCCCTGTTGGAAGCTACATGATGTGGCAAACGTTGGAAAACAAAGTGGGTATTGTTAGGTAGATATTGCTGTTGTAAATGGGGTTAGTTGTTTTCTGGTCATTCCATTCTAAATGGTACCCTTTTTCTCTAACTTTCTAGATCTTCTGCGAACTTCAGAAGAAGTTGTTCCATAAATCACAATCATGTCTACAAAACTACAGTCTTGAGTGTGCATCTGAAAAAAAAATAGTACTTTATTTCCCTTTTAGAATGTTCCATGTGAATTTACACTTCTGAAACATTCCGAGCAATTCTGCAAAAATAGTTTTTTTTAGTCATCTACATTTGAATAGAGATTGCAAAAAAGTATAGCTAAATTTCTGTGTGAATTGATACTAGCAACATTTTTCAAGAATTTTTGAGATAACGTTTATTTATTAAATATTCATAATATTCCAAAAATTGAATTTAATACGCCACTGTTGTACACTTTGCATGAAAATATTAGCGGGGAAACCCCGAGCGTAAAATATATTTTCCGAGATTCCCAAATATGTAGTCAAGGTGGGTTGTGATGGCAAGCAAGTCTTGAAGAAATTTATCGTGTATATGAAGGCAGTTAATTTCTTTTTAAAATTGCAAAATGCAAAATGTAAAAATATTCCAGGTACGTTTTGCTATCTATGTGGTTGTTTTGTGGTCAAGAAGACGTTAAATTACACCTATTTAAAAAACAATTTTTTATTTTTAGTTTAAAGCAAAAATTAGGGATCAAGGCGCCACATATTTTTTGTAAGGTATGTGGAGAAGGTTTGAATACCTATGATATGAAGAGAGCCAACAAATCATCACAATGACTGCTATTTCTGTATGCGCAATATTTGTGGATGTAATACCAAAAATTTGAAAATATTGTTTATCCGAATCTCAATTCTGCAATTAGGCCGGGGCACTGGCCCAGATGTCCCAAAATCTGAGAATGCAGTCAATTTAGAAAAAGATAACACCAGTTTTCTAAATAGATAAAATAGATGAAGATACCCTTAGTGATGTTGGAGATATATGACATCAGATGATATCAGAACTTAATGACTTACTTTTACCTAAGGATCTTTCAGAAAAATTTTGAAATCTCATATTTCAGCTAGCGCGAGACAGAATTTATAGGCTGTAATATGATTATGAGGCTTTTTATTGACCCGTTAAGAAGGCTTGAAGCTGTTCCTTTGGAAATATTCTTGCTTCTGTACCTGTTGCTCATCCTGTGCAAATAAAAGAATGGCATGAAAATATACTACCGCTTGAGAAAATCAAATACAAGGACTAAAGTTCGATAATTTGTGGTGACTTAAAAATTGTGGGACTTCTACTAGGTGAACAATCAGAATATACTAAGTACCCCTGTGTGTGAATGGGACAGTAGAAATAGATAGCAACACTGGGTGAAAAAGAACTGACCAAAAAGGATTAATTTAACTCCAGAGTCAAAAAATATTTTTCCAGTAGAAACAGATAGCAACATTAGGTGAAAAACAACTGGTTAAAAAGGGGTAATTTAATTCCTGGATCAAAAGAAAAAATACGATAGCCTTATTGATTAATGAAAAATTCTCTTACCTACGTTACATATTAAATTCGGACTAATGAAGCAGTACTTTAAAGCTTTAAATTAAAGGAAGGAATTCTTGTAGCTCCTCAAATTAGACGATTAATCGAAGATCAAGACTTTGTGAATACAATTATCGAATCTGAACAGGTTGCATGGGCTTTATTTACTAACGATCTAAGAGATTTTCTAGTAAACAACAAATATGCAAATTACATAGCCATTGTAGAATACATTTTAGCGAAATTTCCAAAATTTCCAAACAAAAATGGATAATAACTCTTAAATCAACCGAGATTTTCATTTACTAATTCTTTTAATGTTTATTAAAAACCTAACGTTATTGACGAAAATGCTTATCAGATTTAAATTTAGCAGGCCTAAATTATAGAAAATCAAATGTCAGATCGGAATCAACTTTCAAAAGTTCGTGGCTTGTGTAAATTGGTGCGAATGAAATCACATGACGGTGAGGATATTGTGTGAAGATTGTTCTTATTCTGTGCAATCATATTAATAACATGTGTTTTCAGAAATAATCATAAATGAAATAGAGAGCTATCAATTTTAACGTGGCGATAGTCTTTAACTAGCATCCAATATCAAAAAGATATTCGTTACTAGATATCCACAAGTTGCACAAAAATAAGAGTCCAGAGACTATCATGCACCGCATGGAGGTACGGTTTAATGTCGTGTGCTATCTGGGTAGTAAATTCCATTAAGTATAAAAGCAAGTATGTGATATTTATTAAATTCATTAAAAATGTTACTCAGTTATCTCTGGAGAAAACAATTGTTTTCTCCACAGATAACGCAACAAAAATCAGCTGCTTTATGGAGGCGGCTTATAAAGCTGACGTTATATTGCCCGTATCACGTGATCCTTAGCGAACATTAGTGGAGTGTTGGCGAGAGTGGAATATTGCAGGTATGTGCGGCGAGATATTCATATGCCGTAGTTCGTTGCCGACTCAAAAACTTATTCAGACGCAGCACAATAGGTTCGAGTGGCTCGCTGTATGCAAAATACCCCCCTTATGAATGTACTCGAAAACTTCCATTATGCTAGAAAAGGACGTCCGCCTCTACTTAATGACGCCCGACTCTTTCGAAAACGCATGAATTCATAAACCTTGTACGCGGCAGGCAGAGCCGATCAGCCCTATAATGAGAAGATCAAAATTGAAAACAAAATAGGGGGGTGACTGATGGTAAGAAAATCCGTAAAAGTAACGAAAACCGATAAAAAAATAATTTTCCTTTTTGCTTCTAGTATTTAAAAAATCACTAGTATTTAAAAAATAAAAAACTACGAGGTACAAGAAATGAACAAGGTGAGTCAACGAGTAAAGCTCATTATCTCATTGGTTTCAAAAGTTATGAGAAAATAGTAAATACAAAAGTTGTAAAGATAGTGTGTGTGTGTGTGTGTGTGTGTGTGTGTGTGTGTGTGAAAAGAAAGTCGCTCAAAAAAATGTGATAAATAAAACATTCATTTTTCTAAATGGAACAATTTTTTTAAATGCAATACACTAATTTTAAATTTTGTTTTGAATTCGCTTAGAAATTATTCAAATTTTTTAATAATAATAAATACCTAAATCTAATAGCTTTTCCATTATTTAATTTTTTCTAAAAAAAATAAACTTGCAAAAAAAATATTTTCTATTAGCGATATTCGAATGCTGTTCAAAATAAACCAATATTTGTCATAGCATGTTATATATCCATTTTTTATACTTTGCGATAACTTTTCGTTTCTAGACTATTGCTATAATGTTAGATGGTCAAAACTATTAGTCAACAAGTCCCTTGCTCTGTTAAGATTAAAAAATGAACAGAAGAACTTTGTTGGAGCCGTAGATTAAGCAACAGATAGTTATTAGCAATTTTGGTAAATACTTAATTTTAATTTGACAGAAAAAGTACATGACAGTGAACATTATTTTAGATAAAAAATTTGGACCGGCATCTATTACTTCATTTATAACGGTGTTCACGGCTACTGAAAAAAAAAATTCTAATTCTTTTTTCTAAGTGGTAGCCGGTTTCCCACTTTCGGTTTTTTATACTGTCATTAAACACTGAAGAGGTTGTCGAGTTGGAATGGTAAAGTCTTAATACCAAGAAAGTATTTTTTTCCGCGTCAAATAGTATATAAATTAAATCACTTAATTCAGCCTTAGGAAAATCCATACTTACTACTTACACAACCGTGCGGTGCGTGTCATTTTGTTACGTCAGTTTCGTTTCCGACGGATCCGAGCCACTTCGGACATTCAAATGTTGTTCATCGCACTTATTGCATAATATGCTATAAGTCACTCATTTATTAAACCCTCCCTTACTGCCATTTACCATAGTTGTTGCAACATACATAATAGTATATTATGAAACAAGAGTCCCCAGTTTGTTTGGCACGAGCAGAGCACAGCGAAGCGAATGTTTGATAAATTTGCGAAAAATTTACCAGACGTGTTGCACACTACACTATTTCTAAAATTATTAGTTTTCGGTTATTTTTTTGCAAAAATAACACGAATACATTCACTAACATGGTCGTCAGAATTGAAAAACTTTAAAATTCTAGCCGCGCGGTAAAATCTCCGAAAACATCAGATTGCTCCCAAACTCATGTTTGATTACAGATTCCTAACTAACCAAAAAATTTTTCGTTTTTTTACGACCAAAAGCATATGAGAATTGACAGAATTTTTATCCAATTTTATATCCAATTATTCCTTGGTTATCGGGAACTAAAGAAGAATACTTTTTTCGTAAAATTTTAAAGCAATTTTAATAGGGGTTCACTAGATTACTGCCTAAAAATTTTCTGGAGTCTAACTTGGCTTCTTCAGAAATTAACTGATATTAGTAAATAATCTACTCTTTCCTGTTTAGGTGTTAAAATAATTTTATTTTGGTAAAATAACATTTGACGTCGCGTTTCATGATTGTGTTAGGCAACTGCTGATGAGTTTATTTACTCTTTCATGTTATTGTAGTCTAGCTGTTATTTTTTGTCCTGTCTCCTCAATGTATTATTTGTCGTATATGCATAGAATGCCGTACACTCCAGGTGTCTCAAACGAAATTTTTTCTTTGCTGAATCAAATATGTCGAGAGATTTTTGGTTCGGGTTGAAATAGTTTTGCGGCTCTAAACAGGAGATTTGATAAACGATGATTTTTGAGCTAGATGGTGATGTGTGCGTGCGTTTTCTGTAAACTGAATGACTGAATGTTATGTCTTATTTTCTATTATTAGTTTATAGTGTACAACGTATAGAGTTTAAATGGTTAAAACATCTCGAAAGGATTCTTGAAGATGAGGCCAAATAACAGAAGTATCATCAATATGGATTTTTTGTAGTTTTGATTTTAGATGGATGATGTCGAGTGTTTTTTCTCAAAAACTTTGATAAATTTACTGATGATGCTGAAAGGGCATCTACGACAAAAAAAACTTATCAGCATTTGCCGAACACAATGACAAAACCAGACATCAAATTTTATTCAACAAAACTATAGTTCTTGCATGTAATCAATTCTTCTATCAACGAAAAATCCGAGAATCCATAGAAATCTATAAGCAACTCACTCAACAATCTTAACCGCGACTCAGGTCTTTACTTGTTAGTCATCCGTAACAATGTTCGTGGGCGACGAACCTCTCAAACAAACATAAGGTGCAAGTAGCAAGCAAGAAAGTTTTAGTTAAGCTATAAAGAAGCTAACAGAATGATTGGCAAGTTCGATTCAACAACAATTGACGTAGGAGGAACAGTATAATAGCAGCCTGCGGAAGCTTTTTTGAAAAATTACTGTGAAGTATTTTCGTTTTTCGACAGGTATTAGACGTAACTAGTGCTCTACCACTTATTGTGTTATTGTTTGGGTTTGTTTCAAGTATGTTATGGAACTGAGTGTACACCTGTCGAAAATGACACAGTATTATTATTTTGTTATTAATATTTTTATTACTATAAACACAAAAATCGGACCTAACGATTTTTCCATTTTCAGAAAACAGGAACATTAAAAAATTCTACAATTCTGCACTAATTCAACAACAGTTCTATCAATAAAATAAGCAACTAGTAGTAGGGCTACTATTGTTCTGTGACCTCCGGGAGTAATCTTGAAACAATTTCACTAACCAGCCAGAGAATATTTGATTTTTTCACACCCAAAAGCTTATGAGACTTGGCAGAATCTTACTATCGTTATCCATATCGTTAATTTTTGGGGACTACAGAGAGAACACTTGTTTTATAAATATTTTTAGGTTAGCTTAAGCTATAATTCTAAATATTTCGAACATCAAAAATAATTGTATACTAATTAAAAATAGTCATTTATTTAATCTTGCCTTTCCTTAACAATCAAATCATCGTAAAAATATGACAACCGCGCGAATCACAATGGACGAAAACCTACATGACGTCTTGGTTGACCAAGCTGTAAAAGTGTGACGAAGAGTCCGACATGAGGGTATCCGGAGTGTCGAATTCTACCACGGAACCGCCCCTCATCACGAGCACCCGATCGGAGTCCAGGATAGTTTGCACCCTGTGCGCGATAGTGATAACGGTGCTTTTCCTAAAGGCCAACCTTAATGTTCGTTGAATTTGCATGTCGGTCTCTCGGTCCACGTTCGCCGTAGCTTCGTCAATGCATAATATCTGAAATGTCACTTTTCAGGAGTCCAACCAAATGTACGGTAGACGATTTGAACCAGAAAATATTCGAATATTCTTAACACGACATAACATCATTACTGTTGCATGTCCAGCTAATTTTTTCACTCAGCAAGAACTACTACGCAAAACTCAATGCTCATTGTTTTAATGAGACCCATCACAGAAAATCAATTTGTATTGTGAAAAAGTTAATTGTTGCATTAATGATGGATACTGAAGGCTTTTTAAGACAGTTTTTTAATTTCGTGTTTTAAATACTTTTTGTAGGAAATATTACGAAAACCTAGACTGTTTACACTAATACAATCTGGCAGCTCTATAGAGAGTGTCCCAAATGTTTGAGAGAAATGAATAAATTTCAAAAAATCACTTTTTTAGAGTTAATTATATAATAAACTTAAACATTAAACTTATTATTAACTGTACTTAACCGCTGAAATTATAGATGTAAATAAAAAACCTATATTTCGTTTTGGGACTATTCTTCCAAGTCTTAATTAGTGGATTTAACATCAATACAGGAATGTTCACAGACTATAACTTTCCGGTAGCTGTTGGGAAAGATCTTTCTTCAAAACGGCTAGGGTTTTTGAATTTTTTGCTGAGAAAAGGATTAGCGCTTTATATAAATGAAAAAAATATTATTAGCTTTTCCATCAAGACCAGCTGAAGACCATCATGAAGGCATGAATGTTAATGTCCTTGAAGACTACTTCAAACAAATGTCAGATCCTATTCGTCCTGGGTATGTGTAGTAATCGATAATGACAACTATGTGCCACTTAAGAAAATCCGAATAATTACCCACGACTACATGGAAAAAAGGTCTCATACATTGAATGTAATATTTTAATGTAATATATATTCGGGCATTGCTCTATTAAGACATTCTAAAAATATTTAATAAATTTCCGCTAATTTGGGAAAATTAGAGAAAATCGTCCTTACTTTCGCGTTGTGCAGTACGGCTCTGGCTAGGCAAACGAGCTGCCGCTGCCCGACTGAAAAATTGATTCCGCCCCCATCGATTTTGTTATGTAGGCCGCCCAGGTTTTTGATCGATGCTTCCAGATTCACTTTATACAGGGCTCTCCATATCTCGTCGTCCTTAAATTCCCCCAGGGGATCCAGATTTTCGCGGATGGACCCACTAAATAGAAAAGGGTCTTGAGGAATGCAAAACATCCGAGACCTGAAAAAATTAAAATTTTAATTCCCGAAAATAGGGTTGATCGATTTTCACACCCGCCTCAGTGCCGTTATTGAAATCGAATTGATGTTGACAGAGTCGATACTGATCTCTCCCGATGTAATTTCTGCCATACGGAATAAGGCGGCTACCAGGGTACTTTTACCAGATCCGGTTCTACCCACAATACCCACTTTTTCGCAGGGTCTGGTCTCGAACGTCACTCCTAGCAATGAAGGTGCCAGTTTTTGCCTACAACAAAATACCCAACAGCATTTGATAGCTGTTTTTTACCACTGATTTGGATTACCCCGATGCTAATATGATTATGGAACATGTACCATATTTTGGTAATATTAGTATTTTAGTTCTGCAGTTAGTAAAAAAATCCCATGACCATAATGTATAGTTCTTTTAATTTAAAAGTAAAAGAATTACGAAAACTCGTTACACTAAAATGGGGTAAACATATCGATATAATACACACCTATACTTGAGAACGACGTTGTTGAACCCGACAACACCCTGATTGGGCCAGCCGTATGGTGGATCGATGGCAAAGTACGTGCTTTCCAGAGGAATTTCGTTAATATACTGATTGATGCGTTCGACGGCGATCATCTCGCGTTCTGTTTCAGTGAACGCGCTCACCACTCCACTTAAAAGACCAGTTATCGTCAGAGCATACGATATAGCTAAACCTATTAGACCTGGAAAGCGACAAGAAGTTCTTAGGAGTATTTATTTATTTATTAACAGTACACAAAAAACGGGGATAGTGGGTTAATGTGTAGGTGAGGTATTGCTTAGATGGACATATGCTTCACAATTTAGATCAAACTCGAAAGACAGCCTGTACATCGTTCGATTATACCTTACCAATTACTGGTATTTTTCGTATTAGTGGTAACGAATGCAACCGGTTCGCTTCGGAATACGCTACAGTCGCTTATAGTAGTTCCATACATCAGCAACTAAATTTACGCCTTATGAACTAATATTAGGGCATACAGCATCTCGGGACCCACAAGAATGACTAAATAGTACGTTCTTTTTTGAATACGTTAATAATCATTGAACTAAACTTCAATCTTTATACGAATAGGTTGCCGAAAATCAAGAAGGACAAAAAGAAAATGTTTTAGAACGTCACAATACTAAAATACCGGAACAATTCCAGTTTAAAATAGGGCAAAATGTTTATAAAAGTAACGATAGAAGAAATAAAAAAGAAAATAATTTTAAAGTACCTTTCGAAATTGTTGAAATTCTACCAAATAATAAAGTCAAAATAAAAAATAATAAAAATAAAACGGAAACAATACATATAAAACAACTAAGGGATCCTGTTTCTGTTACAGATTCCTCCTTTTCTACTGCGGATTGATGGTAGAACAAAGATACTCAAAATTTCATAGTTGAAAATAATCCCTTTAAGTTAGGTAACGCACAAAAATAAATTCAAGACTGGAAACTAGTTTAAATTTTCGATATAACCAATCTTATTAAAGAATATCATCATTTATCTAACTCAGCGAAAAAATTAAGAGAAACTTAATAATAGTGCATACTTGGAATCTCACAAATAAATCCTCAATATTCTATAGAAAAACGTAGAGAAAAACGTAGAATTACAAATGGTCTAGGTTCTATTTTTAAAGTTATAACTGGCATCAAAATAAAATTAAAACTTTAATCAGATTTCTATCCTAGATAATTCAATTAACGGATTTAACGAAACAATTAGTTCATTGGCACATAATCAAATTGTGCTAGAAATTAAGTTATTACTAATAGCAGATAGGATTAAGAAAACAGATATCCATAATATTGATACTTTAAATTTTTTGATTATAGAAATCGTAAGTTCGCAACTTGTGACTCAATATCAAACTATTCTGCAAATTTTGGAAAATTTGGAAACATCAGTAACATTCTCTAAGCTAAGTAGATTGCATACCTAATACTTTAATTGAACCACATGACTTGATAGACGAGATGAAAACAATCGAAAAGACGAACTAAAAATAATAAATTACCATTTGAATGTAAACTTGAAGATATACTTCTTTTTGAAAAAGTAAGCAATATAAAGGATTATTCAAAACTAAATAAAGTAACTTTTATTATTGAAATCCCGTTAACAGAAAATGAAAACCATAATTACTTCCAACACAACCTGTAAAGAAATTAGTGAAGTGAATTTATTCATCCATCCAACAATAAATTTCTAATAGTGCCTCCAAAAAAAACTGTTAGCGTTCAAACGTGCGGCAGAGAACGAGAAAGTATTCCCCTAGAAGGTCCGGAATTGGTGCCAGAGTGCCAAATAAAGTTGGAAGGAGCCGTTATAAAAATTTATGAAGAATCGAAGATACGACATAAAAATATTGAACTCCCGTCGATAAACTTTACAGTCTTAGAAATGGAAAAACCGACTTATCTTAGACGATATGAACACGATTCGAGCCGCCCTTAGGTTACAGACTCAAGAGCTCAAAGAGTTAACCAACCCTATCAAAATAAGAAATGTCAGCATCTGGATTATATTTTGCTGTTATGCTAGTTACAGGGTTATTGTCTTTAAAAAGAAGGATCATACAAAGGTTAAAGATGAAGGAATACCCGATGGATTTTGTTCACGCCCTTCAGTAGCGATAATTTTGAGACCAAAATTCAGTTCTGTTCTTAATTTCAGTCAGTAAACTTCCTTTTTGTTGTAACAAAGCTGATCACGCAGCCCGGTTTAATTTGCGACACGTGATTTTAAAAACCATTTGAATGGACACCGTCTCAATAGCATTTTTTAATTAGTTCGCTCTCAACATCTGTCAAGTCAATTCCCTACGACTTGTCGGCAATTTTATTTTGAATTTACATTGCTTTAAAAACAGATAAAACGTTGGAATCTAGAGGGTACATTGACATTCTCAAAAGGAAACGTATACGTAAAAAAAGAATACTAAATCGCATAGAAAACTTTGTAAAAAATTGCGAAACTATTGAAAATGTAAATGAATTCATTGTGAGGGAGTTACAACTAAATAAAGCTTCCGATTCTTATGTAACGGTTCAAGACGAGATTGAGGAGCTGGAGGAATCGCAGGAAGCGGATAGAGTTGATATTTATACCCGATTTTATTTGCTCTCTGCAAAAATTCGTTCGCACATTACCACATTTGAACATTTCCACTTTCTCAGGCAAATTTGAAGATTTTCCCGCATTCATTGATCCTTTTTCAGCGCTGATTGACAAAACCAATTCTCTTTCTGGCATACCATACAGAAATTGAAAGAAAACTGAAGCTTTAGATTTAGTCAGCAGTCTCTCGGTTACGAACGGAAATTACTAAGTAGCATGGGACATGCTAACAAAACGGTTTAATAGGGAATTGGTAATTATTAACGCCCACTTACAAGGTTAATATAATATAAATTCAATAATACAAATTCAAAAATTTCAAATTCGAATGTTTTTATTGCAAAGTGAAAAATCAAATTATGCAAATGCAAATTATAACAGCATTAAATTTGACATGTCCGTCAACGGAATAGTAAACAAAACAAGTCAAGTTACTAAAGCAGTAAGCTTAAAAATTTGCTCTTCGAGGAAAGATTTTTTACGAACTTGTGCTATTTTAGACAAAATCACATCTGTTCTTCCTCACGTCCAAGTTAATTCAAATCAAATAAACATTCCACCAAATGTATATCTAGCAGACAATCAATTTCACTGCCCTTCTCATATTGACATTCTTATAGACGCAGATCTATACTACGACTTAATGGCTCCTGGAGTTATTAACCTTGGAAACACTCCAAAACACACGTCTGGGGGTTGTCGGTGTACCGACTCCAATACAAAACCTTTCTGCTAAATCACTGGTGAACATAGCTCTATTCACCCCGACACCTGATTGTAATGAATAACTTCCTAAATTTTGGAAATGAGAGGAATACCCTCAGAAAACATTGTTGTCTCTAGAAGACAAGCAATGCGAATCCATATTTAGCAAAACAACACGGCAATTGTCTGACGGCACATTTCAAGTAAATTTACCCTTTCAGAGCGAAACTGCCCCGTCCCGTCTAGGTAATTTATTCGAATTCGCTAAGCAGCGTTTTCTCTTTTTGGAAAATGGTTTCTAAGAGATCAATGCTATGGTAATTCACCACAAAAATATTGTTTGCCTCATCATTGTGTCACAAAAGAAGGAAATGAGACAACTGGTCTCAGAGTCGTAATGGATGCGTCGATGAAAACATCTTCTACGGTACCAAACCATCACCCAACTTAGCTACCAAATGCTTCAAAATAAATAAGAACTAAAAGTTCAGATTTTCACGTATATATTTTGACATGAAAATTGTTTCACACCGTGTCTTTATAAAATGTTGTTGGTGTTGTCGAAACAATTGTCATGTCAAAATATATAATTTCGTGAAAATCTGAACTTTAGTTCTTATTTATTTTGATAAATGGATTTTCATCAAGTAAAAGCCACCTCAGTTCAATTTTTACCACATGCTTAGTCAAGCTACCTGAAGACAACTCGCATATTTTCCCACTTGCATCTAAGGCCATTCTGTATCAGTGCTATGTAGAAGATATTTTGTCTGGCAGTGATTTCAAAACTGAACTACTTAAGCTTCGATCTGAGCTTATACAATTGTTACAATCAGCAGGGTTTAGTTTGCATAAATGGCATTAAAATTATCACGATCTTCACGATCAGGCGTGAATGAATTGCAAAATATTATCATAAAGGATGCGACAACTAAAGTTCTTGGCTTGTCATACAATTGAAGATAATTTTAATATCACTGGCCCATCGTCTTTAAAATTATTACCAATAACAAAAAGGCAGGTGTTATACCAGTTGGCTCAAATGTTTGATCCTTTCGATTTTATTAGCCCAGTAGTTATAATCGCAAAAATATTTATGCAGAAAATTTGGTTGAAAAGGCTAAACTGGGACGATGAGCTAACCCATGATTTAAAAATTGCTTGGGAATCATTCTCACAAAATCTTAACCAAATTCCAAAATTGAAAATTTCTAGAAGGTTTCATAATTCAAAGGAATACAAAAAGGTAGAAATTCGTGAATTTTCAGGTGCCTCTCTTGCTGTTTACGGTGCAGTACTGTATTTAAGTACAATCTACCACAACCAAACAGTCTGCTCGAACATTATTTGTTCTAAGTCCCGAGTAGTACATTTGTACATTGTACTTTGCCCCTGTTAAAACTCTGTTGTGCGTTAAAACATGCGTGCTAAAAGAGTCAAGTCAAAGGTTTGAATGTGTTTCTTTGGACAGACTCACAGGTCGTTTCTCCTGGCTGAACGATTCGACATTTCGATGGACAACAGAGCTTCAAAGTGTATTTCGCGTATTTTTGAAATAAACGGTTAAAAAAAACAATTTGGTCACTGTCAGTATTACCGCTGAGTTGTAACGATAAGTTTATGGAAGAAAGGTTCATCAAATTACGACCCGCACAATTGCAGCACTAAACCTGCATTTAAAAGATCACTGGTGAATTGAAATAGTTACATACCTGGATCGGCTATATCGTACTGATGTTGAATCACCGCTATGAAACTGACGCCGGTGACGATGACCACGCCGATAAATTGCAATCTCAGTCCCAGCCAACGAGAGGCAGCCTGGCTCGCGAACTGAGCTTTTATGTTGAAATCCACAAAATCTTTATTTTCGCGTTCGAACCTCTGACCGGCCCTCATCGCGTTTATCGTCGGCAAACCTAAACAATTGTTCAACCAGATATTGAAAACCGAGGACAAAACCACCTAAAAAATACTTATCTTCTTATATTGGGAAATGCGAGGAACTATGAAGATTTAGGTCACTTAGGTGAGAGATACGAATTACTTTGGCTCATAATAGAGAGAAAAGGGCAGGGAAAAGATGAGTAAGAAGACGCCAAAATGAGTGGCTAAAAGACTTAAGAAGGTGATTTTACCGTTCGACTACTGAAATTTTTCATCCTGTAGTTTTCAAAACTAGAATTGCTATTTGAATCGTCAACCTTCGTAAAGCAAGGCCATGAATATAAAGAGGCGGGGGAACATACAGGAAATAAAGCGGAAATCCTTGAGAGTAATATTGGATTTTCATTCGAGCCGTCAGAATTGACAAATGTCAAAATATCGTCGGTGTTTAAAACCTATCGAAAACATCCGATTGCGCTTAAACCCAATTAATAATAAAGCTGACGTTTTAAAGTGACAGAGCGCAAGCTTGAACAGTGATAATTGGGTATGGGGCTGAGGTGGCTTTTACTTGATGAAAATCCATTTAACACAACTAAATTAGAAAAAAAAAATGTTCCGATTTTGACAGTTGTTTAATGATTTATGACAGCTGTTTCGACAACACTGTGCCTTTATCAAATGTAGATTTTCACAGTTATTTAATGATTTATAACAGCTGTTTTGGCAACACCGCACCTTTATCAAATGTATTTGATAAAGGCTCGGTGCTGCCGAAACAGCTCTCATAAATAGTCAAATACCTTTGAAAATCTTAAAATTTTTTGTTCTAATTTAATTGCGATAATTGTTTACAATTGTTATTATCTACGTGGAAAGACTGTTGCATTTTATACAGAGAATTTCTCAAAAACAAAAGTAAAGAAGGCGTGAGTGACAGTTATAATACTTTAAATACTTAACATAAGTTAAAATAATAAATATCAATTTGTCTACAATATCCATTTTCATCTGTATTACGGATTAGCTAAATAGATTTATTTTTTAGAAGTGTCATTAAAATAATCGAAGATAAATAGAATTATAAGAATAAATAAGTAAATATTTTAAGCAAGCAGAAGATGAGTTAGCAATTTCAAAACTTTCATCAGGAAGAAACTCTCGTGGTCTTTACCAAATAAAGAACAAAAAACACAACATGGGAAATCTAGAATGTACAGATACGGTGAAATATAAGGAAATATGAGAAAATATTTGGGCGATACCAGGAAATGCGTGGAAATACAAGAAATAAGCAGAAATATTTGGATAATCCTAGGAAAAGCGGGTATAATACAGAAAAATACGGGAAATATTTTGCAAATACGAAGAAATACGTTGAAAATACGGAAAAATATTTGGGTAAAACTATGAAACACAGGGAAATATGAGAAAATATTTGTTGAATACGAGGACATTCGGGAAGATATAGGAAATAATGGTAAAATATTTAGGCAATACGATGAAGTGCGCGGAAGTATGGAAAAATAAGGGAAAGTATTTGGGTAATATCAGGAGAGATGGGGAAATATGCTGAAATACTGTGAAATACTGTGGTAATGCGTTAAAAGTCGTATTTGAGTAAAATGATAAAATGCAGGAAAATATGGAAAAATATTTGGGTATTACTAGAAAATGCAAAATAACATAGGAAAGTACGCGGCAATATAGGGAAATACTTTGAAATACGTATAAGTAATAAGACGGAATATGGTAAAATATTTTAGTACTACAGGTCAATGTGGATAATTATTTGGGTAATATCAGGAAATGCGGTGTAACACAGGAAAGTATTTGCTTGGGTAATAAGAGAAAATATAGGGAAAGAAGGGGTAATACGATGAAATACATTTGCTAATATGATAAAATACGGAGAAATATAGAAAATATTTTAGTAGTATGATGAAATACGGGTAAATATACGGAAAAACGGGAAAATATTTCAATACAACGATAAAATACAGGGAAATAATATTTGGGTTATACGAGAAAATACGGGAAAAAGTAAAGAAATTCGGTGAAATGTTGAGGTAATACGAAAATATGCGGAAACAGGGAAATACCGGAAAATATTTAAGGGATAAGAAAAAATATAGAGAAATATGGGGAAAAATTTCGGTTATACAATGAAATACCGGAAAACATTTGAATAATACGATGAAATATAGTGAAATACGGAGAAATACTCAAATAATATGATGAATTACACAGAAATATAGGGCAATATGTGAAAATATTTATAAGAGAAAATATAGGAAAATACAGGGAAATATTGCAGTTATGAAGTACTGGAAGTTATTTGAGTAATATGAGGAAATACGGGAAAATATAGAGAAATGTTTTTGCATTTCCTGATTTCCTTCTCACCGAAAACTTATGGCGACCTGCTGAAACGTACCTTGCAGGGTTTCGTTAAAGTGACTGTATACGGGCGATAAGGTTACGCTGGTGATCCTCTTTAATTCTCTGGACGTCAATCGGTAATAGTTTTGCAGCCACTGGTAGATCGGCACTAGCGGCACCAAGAAAAGGCAAATCCACGGAAGTCCATAGACGGTGATTACGATCGATCCTGTGTACCGAACAATCGCTGAAGCGAACACTAATTTTTTTAGTATGCTCACCTAAAAGACCGAACGTCTGTGCCAGTAAAATATTCAGTATGAAAGGTAACGAATCGTCCACCGTGTAAGTATCGCTGGAAAACCTGTTCAGTATCCTTCCCAAGGGAGTAACGTCGAAAAACATCGCTTTGGCCTACGAAAGCACTTTCAACACAGTCCTGATTTCAATAAACAGTCTTACCCTAATCATAGACCTCAGAAGGAGTCTGTGAAACTTCGCGGCTGCCACGATTCCACCGTAAGCGAAAAGGAAGGCTCTTAACAGGGTAAACAAAGTGTTTACAACCGCGAAACCGACATAGACCTTTAAATAAGAATTCACGTCGTAACCTTGCGAGTTGTTGGTACTGTTTGAGTTCGACTCCGCGTTTGTTACCCAATGAGCCAACCACCAATCGGTTACGTTCCGTGAGGTTTGCATCAAAACAACCGACAACAATATAGATAAACTCAGCAGATGACTTATTTCTTTCCAGTAGGAATAATACACGCCGAGATCTAGATTACCGGTTTCCCTGGTTTCGAGAGCTAAGACGCTGTCTTCATCCGTCCCTTCCAAAGTATCACCAGTGGTGGTTGTTTTGGGGAACCGATTCGCCAACAAAGACTGATCGACGTCGTTTCCCAGTTCTGCATCAACCGCAATACTGACGTCGAGTTCGTTTAACACATCAACAGGTTTGCCTGGAAATCGTGGACAGGAATAGAATATGTCGTAACTTGACGTTTCGTTAAAAGGTAACGGATGTGTGGTGTGGGTGGTATTTATAAGAAACCATAGCTTTTCTAAAAGATTTTATAGCTTTATAAAAAAACACGAGCGTTAAAAGTTTTGTAAGACATTTTATAATGTTGCGTACAAAACGTTTTCGTTACTTAACAAGTAAAACAAAAAGAATGTTATAAAACTTATAGCACGATAACTTTTTCATGTAGAAGGACGCCGCTATATTTTCGGGTTTTGATGTTTAAAAATATTACATGCTAGGAAAAATTCGCAAAAAGGAAATATAGCAGCAGCTTTTATAGAAAATGCGATGAAACCTGCGGAAGTCTAAGAGAAAAAGATTATAATTAAGATGGAATTCTTAATTAGATTCAAGACAATATAATATTGGCAAATACCAAAATATAGTATTGCTCTGCTAAATATTTGAAGATATTTGTGGGCACGACTTATACGTCGGTTGTTGACGAATCGAACTTGCAGAGCTTAGCAAATTATCCTGTTAGAATCTGTGAACAAATCGCCACCCTTCGCAACGGGCTATATATATATATATATATATATATATATATATATATATATATATATATATATATATATATATATATATATATATATATATATATATATACAATACGTCATATACACCTCCGGGCGAGGCGAATGCGATTTTTGGGAGGCCAATACGTATACGTACGTGTATAAGACGTTTTTTCAAGTTTTTTCAATAATATAGGTTGTAGGAAGTCATCTCGCCAATTTTCGACTGGAGGCCACTAGGTATGTTACATACGTACAGATATATAACCGGGTTCACGAATTCCACACTTGAGGGCGCCATCGGTATATACGGCATATACAGTTTTTTGAGTCTGCTAGTTGCTAGTTGGCAACATGGTACAGAGGTAAATAGGTATATCGTATCATGTACGGAAGCGTATAAGTATGTATTTTGTGCGGAGGCTGATTTGTATACTCATATATGTATACTATACACAAAGCTGCCGTCGTGCCCATATTAGTTTAAAAGCAACTAAATCAGTATATAAACAAATTGCTTTTCCAATACGGGAAACTTGAAATTAAATTGTTTTATTAGCATCTAGTGACTACCCAATACTGGGTAAGGGTAAGAAGAAAAAAAGAAAATTTCTGTTGAAGAATTTTTAATAATATGGTGGTTTACAGAAACAGAAACAAAACCGCAAAGAAAGGACTGCCTACTCGAATGTACGCAAGCTTAAAAAGTTATCAATAGAGTCCAAGTTGTACCCATTTATTTGACAAAATATGTTATTTCCTTGAGGATATACAAATTAAAGTAAAATGCAATGGTAATAAGAACATAATGTTAACAAAAACATACATCAAAAAACACTACCTTTCGTAGACAACAACTGTAAAAATTAATAATAAACGATATTTTCTTGAAAACTATTTTTGACGGTACGCATTTTAAACATAAGTTTTAATGCGAATACATCCTTTTTCTTTTAACAAAGAGGGATACTGTTCAATTAGTTCTAAGCACTCATGCTTCTTGGGTGCAATTTTCTTTTTAATGTTAATTTTGAAGTGTTTTAACACTATATTAGCTTGGTTTTCGGTCCAAGAACTTCTTCCGGTATCCTTTGAACCTAAAACAGTACGAACATAGATATTGATCAATAGAAAATTTGAAATTAATTCCAACGTTTTTTGTTCCCTAACGTTTTTTCATCCGTTGATGATGACGGCTGCTCAGTAAAAGGTAAAGGGTTCTCTTCAACTGGGGTGCATACATCCCCACTGGCAGATTCACAGTCAGATTCGACGCATTCGATTTCTGGGTTTATATTAATTTCATTTAAAGATTTTCCCTTATACTCTGCTCCACACCCTTTATCCATCATTATTAGTAGCTTGGAAATTTTTGCCGTTTGATAAAGGTCTTGCGGCAGTCTAAAATAATATCTTATATTTAACAATACGTGATATACAATATATTACATAATGATATTAGTAGCTATGGTTATTATTATTACTGTGAGTGTAATAATTACCATGGGAATTGTCTACTCTAGTTTTTTCTACGACTTAAGTAGTTAACACTGGAACTTTCGCCGAATGTCGGAAAGTCAGATTCAGCTTTAAGCGGCCTATTCTACGTCAAATACACTGAATTTGCGCCGAATAACGTATTTTCCTTTCACTCAGCGAGAAGGATAGACCTACCTTTAAAGTAAAGGCTACGTAATTCTGGGCTTATTGATAGAAAAAAGTTGTTATTATTGCATATTTTTTGTACTTCCACATCAATAATCTAACTTTTGTCTCTTCTATTTTCAATTGACGCAGTTTTAAGTCCTAACTCCACATGGGTAGATAAAGGTTTTAAAAATAAACGAAGTTTATTTCAAAATTATATTTCTAAATGGAAATATAGTTTCAGGTTATTTTTGAATCCTATGTCAATAAGCATTGAATTGCGTACAGTTTACTTAATAGGTAGATCCGTTCTCCGTACAAGTAAACTATATTTGGGAAACGCTATTAGCGATTAAGTGTAACAATTTACGGGAAAAGCCCTTTATACAACTTACTTGTAAAATTCATTGTGGGTTTTTTCGGTATGACCCATAAAAGTGGCAAATTGTTCAGCTTCTTCCGGACTTAACCTTACAATTTGCATTACGGTTGCTATTTGTTTTCGTAACTTATTGGACGTCAGTTGACGTGGAAATTCCAAATCTGCTCTTTGCGCATATTTTCTTATTGCGACATCTGCTCTTGGCGAGTGATTACTATCTGGATAAGCAAATAAATATTTGTTGTCCAGCGAAATAAAATTGGTTTTTAGTCTGATTTCAATCATTAGGTTTATGTAGTCTTGAATGTCTCGTGGGAATAATATTATTACTGGCCGGTTGCCTTTTCCACCAGTAACCACCCTTTTATAATTTTTTTGTTAAAATTTTTTCCGATTCCGTCAAAGCATTTAAACACTCATCTTGATTAATAGAAGAAAAGTTGCGAAGATATGTATCGAGGTTAGTGTATTGACATCGCCGATACGCTTTCTATTATAAAGAATTGTTAACATTAGGCACACATCAGTTAAAATTCTGTATTCTTTTTTATTATTTGTGTCGTTTTTCATATCAGCAGCAGCTTTATTTCCACATTGAATCACAAAATCTTTAAATTTTAATATATCTTTAGTTAGCGGTAGTATGGCTGGTTTATTCCATTTAGTTTCACTCATAGTTTTGAAAGCTAGGCTACTAATCTCTGTAGTCCACTGCGAAGCAATGAGATCTCGAAAGCGTTTTACTTCTTTTATTTTCATTTCGGGATCAGTACACTTTATGGATGGATCTTTTTTTAGTATTAGACGAATTAACAATTCGCCTGCTTGCTTAAGTGTTGTTCCTATGTGAGCTGATAAACTAGGTGCCCTATATGTTTTACTGGCAGGATCATATCCACCAATTCTCTTAGCCGACTCTACCACAAGATCGAATAACACAGGATCCATTAGGTCTATCAGGGTGAAGCGACCATTTTCACTTTTTATATTTCTGATGTCTATAAGAAGTTTAGCAAGTTCGCGCATTTTATTCGAACACACTAACCTCATCTGTTTTCTATTATGTTTTTTGAGATATTGCTCCCCAAAATGACAAATTAGTGGATCAGTTTTTCAGCTTTCATAATATTAAACACTTCTTCTTTCGCGCGCAATCTGTGCAATGTATTATTTTCGTCAATAGCAGATGCAATTAATGTTTAGGATGCAGAAAGCTGATTTTCTTTTTTAAACTTCTCATTAATATTTGCCGATAAACAATTTTTGCGATGCCGACTTAAAATTTTTTTGATATAAATTCCCTTGCAATGTGCACAAGGGTAGTATTCTTGGGCAGGTTTGTTGTTGGTTCGGTATATTGGTTTAACAGCACCTTTCAGAAAGTCCTCAAAGTGTCCTGCGTTCCGTAGCAGTGAAATAACCTTCTTTCTTTGTTTACTTTGTTTTGGATATGATAAAAATTCGCGAACTTCCTTTTCGTCTATATGATTTCTTTCCAAATGTCTTTCAAAGTTAGTAACTTCAAACCGACAAAATTTTCACGTAACTTTCTTCTTTTTACCGCCAAAGGCATTCGTTACCTGAAACATTTAATCACGAAAAAATTGCCTGTAAACAATAAATTCATATTATCTATTTTTTGACGCTATTTAAAAAATGTGTATCTTTATGTAGAATACGCGGGTAAAACAATAAAAAAAAGTTATATTTACTTTTTTAATTGACTGCGGAAGACTTTCCATCCTATTACTCATGGGTTGCAAAATAGATGAAGACTTTGTGGAAGCAACTTTTGTCTCTCAGCTCATCAACGTTTATTATATTTTGAGCATTACGGGTACCCAATAAGAAATTTCCACGATCTTCGTCGTCAAACATCGTTGGCTTAAACATTTACTTAATATAAAACAGCTTGTTGACCTGTGGGTGCTTGTACTTGATACAAATCTCTCCAATAAGCACAAAAAGTTTTTCACAAATACATATTTATTAAAATATGATAGCTGTTACTACAAGACCGTGTCTTTATCAAATCTAATATAATTTTCAACTTTTTGAGACAGTATAAAAAATGTAAATAGCTTGAAATGTGTGCCCAATATTGATATTGATTGACGCTCCATAAAACGTAGTAATGAGGATAAAAGCGCTAATAAAAATAAATAAGAAATTGGATTTTGGAATATTAGATTTTACTAGCTACAATTCAAGAATTTTAAAGACATTTTATATATTGCCTTAATAAGTAGAAAATAAACCTATTAGAAGCTCTGGAGATGTATTGGCTTATTAACAAATTAAATTTGAAAAATACTAATTTAAACACATACAATAGCAGTAATCAAAATTAACATTTAATTGACAATTTTATTATCGTATATACGTGGTAAATGCACGAAACGTTTTTATTAATAACATAATCTAAATAAATTTTTGTTCTTATTTATTTTGTTAAATCTATTTGTTATTTAAATGCTCATATGATATTATGCCCTATTATTTTGAGTAAAAAATTTAACTGAAAATTGGCAGTTAAAAAAGTGTGTAAAATAATACAAAAGTTATATTTACTTTTTGATTTAACTGCGCCAGACTTTCATTCTGATTAGTTACGGGTTGCAAAATAAATAAACTTGTAGAAGGAACCATATTATCTGCTGTGACTTCATCAACCCGCATGGCATCTCGAGCATTATAGGTGTCCGAAGTATGATTGTTAACCTGTTCCTGTAATGTTTCTAAATTTGTTGTAGATTCAGGATTTAATTGATCCCCCTGATCTAACCAGTAATGAACTTTTGTAGTTGGAGCTTGTAAATTTTCACCGGAGATCGTATACAACAACGGACTCTGTTTGGGTAAATCCATAAACGTGTTGCTTGTACACGAGCAGTTGTATTGACTGGTTGGTTGCTTTTAAAAAGAAATGATATACTAAATTTACTAAACATGATATGCGATAATGTTAAATTTAAGAATAAGTTTTAAAATAGGTTAGGATATGTCCCTGATTTCTTCATAAAACAAGAAATTTTAAATGGGTATATATATTTTGAGTCGGTAATGCCCGAACAGTTCTAACTGCTAATATATCATTTTCTAAGTTATAGAACCCATTAAAAAAGGATTTACTTGTAAATAGAGTTCTTAGTCTAACAATACATATTACAATTATTGTATGCAATAGATTCTATTAAAAAGAAATAAAACTAAAGTGTATTTAAGAACAAAATGACAATATTAATAAACCACCAAAAACTTTTTAGGTTTTTTTTCGTTTTTTTTCTCAATAGTTCAACAATTTAAAATCAACCATTGAATAAAATAAAATCATAATAAAAAAATCAGGTTGGGATCAGGCTTAGCCCTTACAAGTAAAGAAATAATAAAAAAAAAAACGGAAAATAATATTGTGCACGCTATCTGGTACATCTGATACAATATGCGAAAATAAAGAAAACCTACCGATAGGCTTCTCTTTATATTTTGCCAGTTCCACCAAAAATTGTCCTCTACTTCGCAGAGAGCTAAAATACGAATCAAAATATTTAATAAAATATATGTGGTGAGAACATTTGCAATAAATACTTACTAGGATGTTCCTTTGGGATCCATACCTGAGCCGTACCTAGAACGGAGGCCACTAAACCACTGAAACATTTTTGTTGACCACAATAATTCTAACTAGATAGGTGTCCTACGTATCTCCTATGAACGTAGCGGCAACAGCGCCAGAGGCAAATACGTCGAATGGATATATTATTTTTTATACATCGGAGGAGAAAATAGCATATAATAACCGGAGGCCCGTTTCTATTTTGCATATATAGAATTTTTGTATATTTTTTTCTGCGATTTTTTTTCCCCTCTAATAGTGCCCCTGTAGATTCGACCATTCAGATTTCAGATTCGCAAAAAAGTATACACGTCAAATATCAGCGGGTAGGGCGGAGCCTTGTGCGTCTGTCGTATGCACGGAGGCTAGTAAGATAGCTGTGCAAGTATATATATATATATATATATATATATATATATATATATATATATATATATATATATATATATATATATATATATATATATATATATATATATATATATATATATGTGATGACACTATATTCCGGGATATCATCCGTTCGCTCGTTGAACTCCGACTGGAATCCTGCAGACGTTTCGCCAAAATCTCACTTGGCATCTTCAATGCTCGCGCTCCGAAAACACTTCGAACACTCCCGGAATATAGTGTCATCACATTTTCCATCCGTGAATCAATACGTGAGAATATATATATATATATATATATATATATATATATATATATATATATATATATATATATATATATATATATATATATATATATATATATATATATATATATATATATATATATATATATATATATATATATATATATATATATATATATATATATATATTTTTTTAATATTTTAAAAGGTTATGATTGCAAAATTGACATTTGACATTAGAGCATTTTGCAATTGGTTTTCCGGTTACGTTTAGTTTTCTGGAGGTTGCAATTCAAAAATAAAGTCGCATTTCAAAAATGTACGATTAAAAATGTTCTGCATTTTAACTTAACATCATTTCGACTATCACGTTTTAACCACAATTACGTTTTAATGAGCTCAAAACGAAATATATATAATATTATTAAATAAAAGTTGAAGTTTTTGAGTTGTAATAATTTGGATAGAAAGATATTTTCATTCAAATTCGTAATAACGTCAAAGGAAAAACCCAATGACAGGGACTTGAAATAAAATATATTGTAATAAGACGATGCTGAAGCAGGTGAAGCTAATGTTGAGCGTTTTATGTAATAATAATAACACTTTTGTAGTATATTTCAGTAGGTTTAATTCCGTGACGAGATAAAAGTGGTAGGTCTTCAGATTTTATAAAAGAAATTATGTTAGTCGAGGTAGCAGAACAGTTAGCAACTTACCTATCTTTTTTATAAATCCTCCCTCTATAAGAACAATCCTATCGGCGTGTACCAGATATTGCATATGGTGTGTGCATAAGATCCTAGTTTTGTCCTTGAGCATGCCCATGACGCAATGTTGGAAGATGTGCTTGGCAACTTTCGAGTCCACTGCTGACAGCACGTCGTCCAACAAATAAACCGACCTTAAAAGGAACCGTTAGACACACAACGCGAGACAAAACACCAAACAAACTTGTTTTGATAAACGGCCCTAGCCAAAGCGATTCGGGTTTTTTGCCCTCCCGATAAGGTGGTACCACTTTCCCCTACCCCCGTCATGTCACCGGCTGGGAGATTGGTAACATCTTCCACCAGGCCGCAGGCAAAAAGTGTGTCGCGGTATCTTTCTTCGTTATAAAGTTTGCCGAACAGGATGTTATCTTTAATCGTACCACGTTGCAGCCAGGACTGTTGACTCACGTACGCAAACCCTGAAATATGATCTGTTCTAGAAGGTGCGCACAAAAAAAAATTGTATCGCCAATATTAGTGCATTCAAGGATTGATTTGCTTGAATCAATGAATTTTTATGAATGATGAGTGTGTTTTAGACACCAGACTGATATTCACATACTAATTGAAGAGTGGAAGTAATGAAGGTGATAGGTACCAAACAGAAGTTTTGAGAGAAAAATGTAACAAAAAGGACAATATAAAAAATAACTATTTTTTTTGAGAAAAAGGAACGCGCCTTGCTGATTTGAAGCTTAATCTGCAAAGGTTTTGAGCTTCCAAGAATATAGCTCCGCTCGTGCCATTTACCGCAATTATTGCATAATATACTATTATCAGATTTTGCCCGTGTGTAATGACCAACATATTTTGTTATTGAATTAATGTGCTATTTATGGGATGTTCTTTTACGAAGCCCGTTTTCTTTTTAGCGATAAGTATATCCAACTTTTTCCTTGCCAATGCATAAGTGTTCATAAAAGTTGCCTTACAGATTTGAACAAAATTTCCACTTTCACTCCAAAATTCATTAGATAAGAACCCTGGCACAAAATGTTAAGCCAACATGTGTTTGCAAGAGTAGTTAATAATAAAGCTAATAAAGGATATCATAATACATTTTTAAGTAGATTATGCATTAACCAACTTATTCGGTGGACAAAGCTTTCTCTGCTACATTCGTCAGTGAAACTCGTGTTTTATAAGCTTTATCACCCTCTTGCTCATAGCCGAAACGACCACTGCCGTTTTATCTACGCTCATATTTTTCAGATTGGCTCATATTCTACAATAATTTTCCAAATTAATTAAGTATTTTTGATAAGAGATTACACTGACACTGTAGCAGCTTAATATTAATGACGGCACTTATCGCAATTGTCAGGTCACAAAGCATGTCGTTTAACACTTTTCTATGGGAATAAGTCAATTTCAGAAATCATGGCACTCACTTTCACTTTTAAATGACAAAGCGATTTGGAGAAAGCCATATAACGGCAACCTCGTAATGAGCATCAACCACACATGTTACTAGAATGACTTGATCGTTAAGCTAGTGTGTGTGAAGTCAAGAAACTCTTATTTTTTCATTTCAAAACTCAAATAATGTGACAACAACTGCAAAATGGAGCGGTGAGACAAGCTAATCAAGGAGATGAAAATAAATAAATGTGAGCAAAATTTTGTGGTTTTGGAAAATATGACTTCGTTATAAAGGGTCTTCCAAAGTTGGTGGAACAAATTCTAAGAGGATATGTTCAGCCTATGCTTTCTGCATAAACATATTTCGAGCACCACCCACAGACCCTAAATTGAACTGACCTGAAAATGGTTTTTTATTAATATTTCGTAAACATGTTGAGTATTACCCTCCACGAGCTCTGCTAGTCCTGTTCTAAGTCGCAGTGAGGGAAACCACTAAAACGATCCAAAAATCACTTCTTCCAAAGGAAGATTCGCGACGTTTTAGAGCAATGATCTGGTTGATTTTAGAATGAAACTAAATAAAACTAAGAGAAAAGTAATGGTGATCGTAATACAGCAGGTCACACTTTTCAATTACTTAGGAGTAGAAATAGAGAACAATGGAAAATTGGAAAAAGATATAAAATAGAGAATAGAAAAAAGACTAAAACTATACTTTCCCATGAATAAGAATTTAATAACAAAAAAAGAAATATATACAAAACCAATAAGAAACGTCTTGAAGGCCATATACAAGTACAAGTAAAACAGGTGTAGAAAGCAAAAAGACAAAAACGGAAGAAACGTGCAAGACCAACACACATGGTACTGCTGTATTGCTCAGATATCGCAAAGAAAATGTGTAAAACTTGGAATTAGGCAAGCATTATAGAAAGAAATAAAAAGCAATTGGCAAAATTTATAATAATAATATTTGAGTTATTTGCACAAAATTTGTTAAATCGGGGTTTTTCAACATGAAAAATTAATTTTCCTAAATAATTTTGGGGGAAATTATAGAGGGCGTTAAGATGGTACTTTTGGTGCATTTGATACTTTCTAACTTTTTTGCATCTTGGTGTATGCACATTTTTTATAAAGACATCGCATTTTTACACCTTCTTAATTTCGTTCCGACTCGCCGTTTTCGACAAATTCGCATTTGAAATTTTCGTTGCACCTAATTGTACAGTTTCATGTGAAAATGCTGAAATTAATGAAAGTTCGAAGTAGGCTATGACTAACATAATCACAATAAATGAGAGTAAAATGATGCGAAGTAGGCTCTGACGAAAACAGAGACGACAAAATACCTGCACGATTTCTTGTAGTAGACTTTGACTAAAACAGATGCAATAAAGGCACTTAGGTTCTGGTGAATTGCTGTTTGTCAGTATCTTGGGTGTTTTAAAAATGTTTTGGTTAGTGTTCCGATAATGCCAAAACATAATTTGTTTTCTAAGGTGGACATGATATGTTTATACGCACAAGCGAATTAAAATAGGGATCGAGCTCATAGATGTCATTTGTTGTTTTCCAAACCACAGGCAAGATTTTAAAATTTTTAAGAATATTTATAACAAACTCGACGATGCTGGTTAGTTTTGGTTAGTTAGTTAGTACAGTTTGTACAGTTTTTCACCAAGGAAAGCTTTATCTATATCGCTTCACTCTAGTGTAAAATCTTTTAGAACATTGGAATTTGCTGGTTTTTGTCAGGTTTTTAAATCAAATAATGTTTACAGATATGCAATATCTAGGTTATGATGGCATAAAAAATGAAATTTTGAATATTACATGATGTACTGTATGTAATAATGTAAATATTGGGAATATTAAAGCTATTTTTCAAAAAGTGCGCCAACTCTGCTGCATTTACCCTATATCATTGATTCAATGGTATTCAGTGTTACAATAGTGTTTTTTATTTGAACGATAGGGACTAGAGTAAAAAAAAAACAAACATTTGGTGAATATAACTTGGAAATTGCTAGCTGACATTCAAAAACCGATTATTTTTATGAATGCCCCTACCTGTTTCCATCTGGCTAATTGATATTTGTCCCGAAAGCATGGAAATATCCGCCAGTATGGCGGACAAAAGGGTCGATTTTCCGCTCCCGACCGGACCTATAATACCCAGAAATTCTCCCTGAAAACGGAAAAAGTCAACGCGAGCAATTTTCGGGATTACAATCAGCGCTTTTACCTTATTTACGGTCAGATTAATATGCTTCAACTGAAACTGGTATCGCTCCATGGGCGAGTTTTTGAAATTGTCAATCTGTGCAGAATTCTTACTGACTCCTTTACCTTTAACGGTTTCCTCTGTGCTCAGCTCTTTATTCCACGAAAATTCGCCATCTTTGATACAAACGTCGCGGTCGTTGTCTTCCAGCGGCCGGTAATACTTTTTCAAGTCAAGATCCGGCAACTAAATTATCTTTAAAATATACGAGGGCGGAAAAATGTGTCACAACAAACCTTGAGGAATTTTTCGATCCTCACTACAGAGACCCATGCCTCGGTCATACCGTTGAGCACCCACGGAAACGCATTTAAGGGACTTATGAGCATGTTGAGAAGGGCGATAGATGTAAAGACAGTAGCCGCCGTTAGTGTCTTGCCCATCAACACGTAAGTTCCAAACGTTAGAATTGAGATGATGACCGGTGTGGTTGCCCAAAAATAAACGCAGAGCGCGTCTAGGTATTTACGCCCTTTGAGGTACTTTATTTCTTCCGTTCTTAGTTCTACAAATTCGTTTAGTGAAGCCCATTAGTAAAGGCTTCAACTATAAAATAGAATGAGCACTCCAGTATGTCTGGAAATATCGATTCGATAGGTTTGTCAGAAAAACAACACAAGGTGTCTGTCTAAATCAATGAATAAATGAAGTACCGAATTTAATATCAAAGGAAACAATTACGGCTTTTAACAAATAAAATTTAATAAAATCATAAATATTGAGTAAATAAAGAGGAAATTTGGTGCCAGTTACACTTTATCGATTTTTATTTATCTATTAAGTCAAGCAAGGTTACTCAACAGACTGCTTGGGGCAGTTCTATTGCAGAGCAAGACAAATTAGGAACAATAAGAAAAACCACAGAATTACATAGAGGTGCGCAAAAAATAAATAATGAAAATATAATAATATAAAAAATACCGCTAAGGGCAAATCAAAAAGCCACTGAATATGTGAAGGCCAATCTCTGCTTTCTTTATCTGCTATCTCCTGTGGCAATATTATTATATAATGTCATGCAACAAGGAGAGTTAGAAACATAATTAATTGTGACACCATAATGTAATTAAAAAAGTTGGGTGCTTAAAGCCCTCTGTCGTTCTCAGAATAAATCCTTTATATGAGATTCGAGCATCAGTCTAGAGTTCAAAATAACTTATAAACCTTTAACAACGTTAAAACGTTTTAATTTTAGATTCACATTTGGATTTCTCGAGAGGTTTCATTGAACATTGGACAACATTGAAGTCGAGTCTATTCAGAGCGCATTACTTAGCAAACTTGTTTAAGTGCACCTACAAAGCAAAGGGCAAGGGACCCAAGTTTCAGCACTGCGGAACCTTAAAAGTCACATCCAAGTAAGCGGATGTTATTTCATTGCAGCTCCGTACACGGTTCGGTTCATATTTTCCTGATAATTTTCTTTACATCATCAAGGAGGCAGGTAGATGTTTGATTGATTGGTTTCATAAATATTTAATTGGTTATTGGTTATTTTATTCATTTGATATTAAATTCCGTATTGCATTTAATAAAATGCCTAAAAGTTAAATTAAAATAGAGATAATTTAAGCTAGAATTAAAAAAAATATGTATCCCAATTGAATCAACACAACATTGTTTGTTGCGGTTCTCGCATGCTACGCCCTAAACTAATTTGTGCGATTGAAGACTTTCCCAAAAAAGGGATATTTCTTGTTTCCACTACTTATTAATCTATACTTCGAGGCAATATTTACTGAAACTTTTGAGTATCAAAGAATGGGAGTAAAAATGAACGGAGTACTAATCTCAAATATCCGATATGGAGGCGACACTCTATTGCTACTGCTATTGATATTGAAGAACTCCAACAGATGCGAGAAATATTACGAAGAAACGTTTTAAGACACGTTATCAGTTTACTAGTCTTTTTGGAAGGGAAAATAAACGGTTGAAGGGAGGTTAGAAGAAAGCAGATGTCATGGAAGAAATGTTAGACAGTGGACCTTATTAAGAAAGATAGAAAAGAATTTGTCAGCGCAGGCAGGCACTGCGATCAATTCCAATTATGTTGTGAATATGCAGTTTAACTGACTGATTAATTGATATCTTGACTAGAAAGTTATGTCAAAATATATGCAATTGGGTATGGGCCTCAGTAGTGTTCTATGTTGATAGAAACTTTTTATATTATTTCCGCTTGGACATTCGTCTATCCAAGTTGTGTATCAGAATATCCAAACATCCTGTGCCACATTGGCGCCTCTGCCAATCGGTCCCTCTTAACAGCAAACATTTTAATATTCTTTTTAAAAAAGGGATTTGGTTAGAATCTGAATTTCAAGCATATCTTTTATACAAAGTAGAGAGAACTGTCAGAAAGTAAATTTTATAGGGCGCTTCAAATAACGTTGCGTTACTTTGAGACATAAGTAGAATACTAAAAAGTAACACATTGTACTTACTTAATTCATTTATATCAAAAAATTTATCTTTTTATTAGTTCCGAAGCCATGAAATAAATGAAATTTGGACCCTCAATACCTTTGATTGAGTCCTAAGAGTAAACATGTTTTTTAGGGTCGCTTTCAAGTCGGCTCTCCACCAAACCAACATGGCAACAATGTTGCCATCGTGTCGATGACAATGCTTACAAACATGTGGAGACAGGTCTAAATTTGTCTAAATGCCTAAATTTGTTTGTGGAGTAATAAAAACACGAGAATAATATAATAAGAGAAATGTCAAACCCACCCTAAATTTTGGGATACTAAGCATACATGGTACAAGAACAGAAATAAGTAGAGAAGGCGAAAGTTGAGAAGAAAATATAAAATATTACTGGACAATTTTTTTATAACAATACAAATAGGGCATGGATACAGAAAGTATGTACACTCCAATATGGTTTGCTTACAGGGTGACCCTATTATATTTTTATGTGTCTATTTTATATTACATATTATGTATAGGGTGACTCGTTTCGCCATAAACACTACCAACTCTTTTATATCGCACAGGGACCCCCAGTATATTGAAAAATGATTTGGATAGACCTTAGAACGTTGGATATTTAAACTGATTTATGTAAGGTTTGTTTTGTTTCAACTTCTCTTTGCGTATTAAAAAAGATACTCTTGTCAATTATTTATATTGCCAAAATTCGACGATATATAATACGGGGAGTCTACATGTCACCGTTTCTGAATTATCAGTCGACATCTTCAGTACGAATACTATTTTTCAAATAACTTACATAGCACTTTTTCGAGAAACCCCAGTCGAAAAATATACAATCTGTAGAAATGAAACATTTAATTTAAAATTACTATGAAAAACAAATGAGAAATAAAGTTTAGTCAACAATATTATTACACACTTAAAATAAACGAAATAACATGAATAATGCTAATTGCAACAAATTAACAACAATTATTTAAAAAGAATTATTTAAAAAGAAGTTCTATATAACCTTCAGTAACGAAAATAGATTCGACAGTCTTAAATCATTAAAAATATTGCATTGCTCTAACCTGCCACTGACATTAAATTCCCTCATTACTAAACTGACGGTAGATTCTGTAAAATGTTTTTTTTACGCTGGAGTTTGCCTAAATGAAAATTTATTTAGTTTTATTACATTAAACAATATTCTAAGATATAATATTATGAACGGAAAAAAAGTAATAAGGAAAACTAATCAATAGTGTAAGTACTGGATGAAGGAGAGGGCAAAATTATTTATCAATTATTGCTGTCAAGGTCTACCATAGTAGAATTCCTGAAATTCTCTGCACTAATAATTCAGAAACAGTGATTTCTAGACGCCTCGTTGAATTCGTCTTTCACTGGTCTATCTAGACATATTTTACAGGGGTTTGTATTAGAAAAAATTGAGAAAAATGAAAGTTTTTTTTCCTTATACGCCAGCGTCGAAGCGTCCTTTACATAATAAAGGAAAAGTCGCTTCAAGCGATTTTCGTTTTTGTGTTTCATAAACGGGCTACCCCTTACCTATTTATGTGTTACTTTTACCTTTATACTTTCGTTTGCTTAACACATTTAAAAAGATAACCAAAGCTAGAAAATGAATATTTGGAAACCAAAAAAATAAGCGTAATTGCAGGCCTCTTCAATGTGTCCATTTTTCAAAACCTAGGGACAATCATTTGGAGTAATGATTCGAAGTGAATTAATCCCATTCTTATAAAATTCTGTTGCGAAACCATCCACATTTCTCGACAATGGTTATAAAAATAGGTAACAAAAGTTGTTGACAATGTCGTCGACATACCTTGGTTTGGTAGAGATACGACGAAGAGACAGAGTTTGCCGTATATTCTGCCGTGGGAATTAGAAGAACGTTATTTAGACACCCCTTAGAGCTACGTTTGTAATGAAATTGTCGTGCCCCAGTTTTATTTCGTAAAATATTTTCCGAATGGTGTCACAAATGTCTCATACCAAACCATTAACACTCATACTTGGACTTACTTGCAATTTGCCGCACAAAGTATTCCTCCCACACGTAAAACTTGATAGCCTTAATGCCTCGTAAAACTTCCGTGATCAGTTTCACCCTGTGGTCCTTTTGTTCCATTAATTTCGTACTGAGTGTCCCAATTTTATTGGCTATTACTTTATTGACCGGAATCAGTATTACGGTAAACAACACACCAGCAAAAAATGCCATTCCCACTTGGCTGTATAACAAGTACAACGTCACCGCAAGCTAAAATTTATATTTAGGTCCGACCACAGCCGCACTGTGGTCGGGGATTTGGTAAAAACATGGCAATAACTTAAAATCTCACTTTATAAATATTCCATACCAAATATCTAATTGAAAATATTTTATTACAGGACTCCAAATATCCCTTGAATTTGTTGTTGATTTTTAAACGGTGCTGAGCCAATCAGAAGTCAGTATCATTCATTTTAGGCCCTTAAACCTTTAATATGGTAAGTTTATTCCTTCCAACAAGGTTTAGGGTTCATAAATTACAAGAACTCATTTGACACGGGTCGTCATGATAAACCCATCACAGTACTAACAAAAACTCAAGCATCCTATTTTATGTATACTCTGAGTTAATCTATATGGAAGCACTGCAAAGTGTGAGAGTTAATAATAGTCAATGATTGAGAATGTTATGATAAAACTTGAAACGAATATCAAGAAAACAAAATATTTCGAATCACACGCCAACAAACATGTATGTCAGTTTCAGAGTGGAGAAAAGACACCGACATTAAAAGCAAAATGGAACTTGGTGGTGACAAGTAAGAATTACCGCAGCTCATAACGCAGGATGGGAAAAGAAGAAGAGATTCCCGATTGAAAGATCTAAGGATGTGGTGCAATAAAACATCGACGCAACTGTTTCGATCTGCGGTTTCCACTTTGGTCGCTGATCTCCGAAGATAGGAGATGATACAAACGGAACAATATATATAAATATATATATATATATATATATATATATATATATATATATATATATATATATATATATATATATATATATATATATATATATATATATATATATATATATATATATATATATATATATATATATATATATATATATATATATATATAGGGCGAATAGGGCGTCGGCGCCCTGCCCATGACTTACTTGCTCCAACGATTGTGACAAACGACATAGATATCATACTGATCAGTGAACCAAATAAAAAACCCTGCGAAGGAACAAACTGGCACCTAGACAATAATTTGGGCGCTGCGATAGGTTTCATAAACCATAACATCCACGTAGCTAAGAGTGGAAGAGGAAACGGTTTCGTGTGGATAGAATTTCTCGGACTAACAATAGCCAGCTGTTATATATCTCCCAATATCACACTGGAAGAGTTTACTGGTTTCTTGGAGAACATGGAGGATGCTATTGGCAGGACTAGACCTTATAACACTAAATGAAGGATCTGACCCTACCTTTTGTAGAGGAAATAGTGTATCCCATATTGATGTTACTCTGGTCTCTGGGAACATCAGTAGTTTCTTCTCAGACTGGCACGTGTCTGAGCAGGAAACCCTATCGGACCACAACTATATCTTATTTAGAACTGAGTGTGGACTAAATATCAGAAACCGTGACGCAGCTGGAACTGGAAAATGAATGAGGAAAAAACTAAATATTTTATAGAAGACCTAAAACGAAATCGGAGTACACAGGCCGACTCTCTGAATCCAGCAAAACTAACTGAGGCTGTAAAAAATGCTTGCGACAAAACTTTCAAGAAAATATACAGCATGACAGGTACCAGAAAACCAGTGTACTGGTGGACCTCACAAATAGGTGAAGCTAGAAAAAAATGCCTTCGAGCAAAAAGACATGCCACCCGCATCAACAGAGCACAAACAAGCACTTATATGGAAAAGGAAACCGCACGAATAGAGTATAAAGATAAAAGAAAAAAGAAGATGATAAAGATAGCGAAACAAAACGCATGGAAACTGGTTATTGACGAAATGCAGGCTGATGTTTGGGGACGTGGATACCAGATTGGCACGAAAAAATTCAATTTAAAAGCGGCGGGACACATATCAGACGAAGTAATGATAAATGAAACTACAAAACTTTTTCCAAAACACAAAGAAATAATATGGCTATCCACCAACATAGATCTCATAGAAGCACCATTATGGACTCTAAATGAACTCAGAGACGCAGCAGGTAAACTGAAACCGAAGAAGGCAGCAGGGCCTGATAAAATTTGAGTAATTAAAAACCTACCCGATAAATGTCTGGAGGTGATGAACCAATAAATGAAATTAGGAGTTTTCCCTAAGATATGGAAGACTGCAAGGCTGGTACTAATAGAAAAACCGAAGAAACCGGGACAAGAGGTTTCGTATCGACCGCTGTGCTTACTAGATTGCCTAGGAAAAGTCTTGGAACACCTAATTAAGAATAGGATAAGTTGCGAAATAGAGGCAAAGGGGGTTTTGCTCAGTCTCAGTTTGGGTTCGTGAAAGGACGCTCTACCGTGGATGCTCTGACAAGAGTTTTGGACAAGGCAAAAGAAGCAAAAAGCGCTGCCTGGGCAAACCGAAAAATTTGTCTTTTCGTCACGCTTGATGTCAAAAATGCCTTTAATACAGCTCCGTGGGAGGGAATAAGTGAAAGTCTGGAACGAAGAAATATCTCTCCATATCTCCTGAGTTTCGTAAGAAGCTATTTGTCTGCCCGTAAACTACTTATCGGTGAAAATCACACTATGGACATCACAAGTGGGGTGCCACAGGGATCGGTCATGGGACCGTTTTTGTGGAATGTCTACTATGACGATGTACTGCGACTGCCAATGCCTGAGAGTGTTGAGCTTGTAGCATACGCTGACGATCTTGGCGTAATCATAACTGGCAAAAGTAAAAGACAAGTAGTGGCAGAAGCTGTCCTACTAAATACGCGAAAGGATGCAAGAAGGGTAACCATTGATGTTTTAGATATGGAGATCGAGACCGGACTTGAAATTAAATATTTTGGAGCTATTCTTGACACAGGGGCAACAATGAAAAAATATATATAACACACATGTAAACGTTCAGAGGTGTCTGCTCTTTCTCTGTGTAGGTTGATGCCTAACAAGACCGGACCTACCGCAAGAAAAAGAGAAATGCTGAGTGCAGTTACGCACTCAATTATTCTCTACGCAGCTCCTGTTTGGTGTGAAACCTTGCGCTACGCAAAATATAGAGAAATGTGTCAGAAGCTTCAAAGAAAGCTCGCTATAGGTATATGCAGCTCTTTCCGCACCATTTCAACGTGTGCAGTGCTGGTCATCTCGAGGACAATCCCGATAGAGTTGCAAACAGACGAACGGCGCAGAACAAAAGTGAAAAATAGCAGCGAAAAAATAGTGATGAGGGAGGAAACACTAAGCAGATGGCAGGCGATCTTTTACATTTTACGTTTTATATGTTTTTATCTGTATAACATGACAGTTGTCATTATCTATTGTTAGCTTGGTCTGGATATTTCATACTTTCCTTATGGCTGTAAAATAAAAATTATTTGCTTATTATGACCTTGCACTTAACATAAATATGTAAAAATTTGCATTTTGTAAAAGTCTATTTGCCATGTTTTTACGAAATCCGACCACAGCGGACCGCTTGCCAAAACAAAAACATTATCGAAATGAAATGGCGGAAATATCCTCTGGTAAACAGCTCTTTTAATAAATCGTCGACGGCTATCGACTTCGCAGATACGCGTTTTATTAAGGGGAGACACGAATACCAAGACAAGCATGGCCGGATAAGAAATATTTATTTCCTGCTACGTTACGGGAACAAACTTTCGGTTAGTAAACAAACTAGGAACTGGGGTATCTGATATCCAAAAAAAATTGCTTAAGTTTTGCGTGATATGGGAAAACACAAATGACCCGAATGTGAAAAATCGAATTTTCTTGAATCTCCTAAATAACTATAACAGAGTTTTGGAATTTCTGAAAGGGGAAGAGTTATAGGGTCGCTCAAAGTAGGACTAAACTAACCAACTATAGACCATAGTCTGAATTATAAAAGGCCTTTTAACTTATACACGGTGTGTAACAAAAGTAAGACCGTACACGAGGGGTAAACTAAGAGCTAAGGGTGTACACCATAATTCCAGGGCCATCTTGTATTTTGTTCTGTAGAGTATCCAAATAGTCTAGCAGAGTACAATACGTTATTTCTTTTAGTATTTAAAATTATTTTCAAATGTGATTGGTGATTCATAAATGTGGGAAACCAAACATAAATTTTGAATGGAACACCATGTATATTATTGTATTAGTAGATACTCCTTTTCTACTCAATCCCCAATGAAGGTTGTTATGGTCTATACCGAGTGTTTTCTGATTTATGTCCATTTTTCCGACAATACTCAGTTTTTAACACTCTGCATTTTCGACTCAATTTCTGACAGCTGTAATTTTATTATGCCAACAATTTTATAAAGTAGCACAGTCATATTTGTCTTGAAGAACACCCCATATATTATACTTCCATTAATTACTAATATTAATGGTCTTTCAATCTTATTAAGCTAAGATTAAGTATAGGGCACTCCTTAAAAAAATTGCGTGCGGAGATTTAAACAAAAATAAAATTATGATCTGCGCAACTTTGGAAAAATAATGTAAGCAGTATTTTACGCTAGGCATAATATTCAAAATGCAATATTAATGTTGCTAATAGTTACAGAAAGAACAGTTAAAAACTAAGAACAAAACTGCAAAACAAAAAAATGGTTTAATTAAGTTTCATTTTATTTATGCTCGAAGTATCGATTTCGATGCACGCTCTAACAGGCTCTTTAAATGATTGGGCAGAATTCGCTAGCATGAATAACGCTTTAATAGGTTTCTCTTATGCCATGTCCTCTGTTGCGGGGCACTTTCATATACCTAGTCTTTAACATATCCCCACAACTTTCTTGGCTCAGGAGATCTGGGTGGCTAACTAAGCGCCTCTTCCTATCCACCGTTGACGAAATAAATTATTTTAAGTAGTTCGTAACTTGATGGGCATGGTATGCAGGAGCCACATTCTCTGCTTCACTTAGTTCGGAATAGTTCTTAACATATTTTGCAAACTCTGCTCTAAAAAGTCTAAGTAAGCTTGCCCATTCATTGTATTTTCAAAAAATGAGACCTTAAAACGCTATTTCCTATTATACCACTGCAAACATTTAAAGACCGGGTTTCCTGATT